AGGGAGAGAGTGAGAGCACACACACACACTCACTCACTCGACACGACGGACTCRGACTGAGGGTCGGACGCAGACACAGTGGCAAGGCACAAAGTCGAAGTCTTGGATTCCCGGATGCCGAAACGGTAAGTCACCCTGAGTACGAGTACAGCAGCAGAGAACTGGTACGAGGACTGGTCCCCGTATGGTACGGGGAGCCGGTATAAGTACCGGTGACACGTACGGTACCGGGGGCATTTCTGCAAAGGCCCCGAGGGCAGAACTGAAAAATGCAGTATTTGAAAGTGGCGCCCGAATTGCAGCATGGCGCCAGTTGTCCAAAATCCTACGGTACCAAAAGGAGGGGTTTGGAAAAGGGGTGCCAGGCCTAAAACGGGATGCAGCCGAAACAGCAAAAGATAGACCAGGGATCGAGCCCTGGCGAAGTCCGTAACAAGAGGAGTGACGTCCGGGAAGGCCGTGAAGGACATGTGCTCACACTAGTGCACTGGGGAATGAATCTGCCTGCAACTATGGCCAGTATTCACTTTTGTTGCTTTTTTTTTTTTCTTTTGTTTGCTTTTTGTTGCCCAGCCAGCGAGGCAGGGCGCACTGCACAGACTGCTGACACTTTGTCAAAGAGGGCATATACTCCAGATTCGGTATCTAACGGCTTTCACGTCCATATTGTTGTTGCCCCCCCCCCCTCCCCTGAAAGTAACGTCCGTGATGAGTGCGTAGCTGCAACGCCCTCACTAAGGGCATACTCTCATACTGAACCCAGATTCTGTATCCGACTGCTCTCTCGTCCTTAGGTTTGTTGCATTTTTTGTTTTGTTGTTTCTTTTTTTTCTTTACGCTGCTTATTTCGGAGGACTGCCAAAAAAGAAACTACAACGGGACTCGGGCTCGGCAAAACTCAGCGCGCAGTGAAATTCAGGTCCGTTTAAATCAGGTGCAGGTGTACTCGTGGTTTAAGCGAAGAATTAAAAAAAAAAGAAAAGAGCTTTCTGAAAGGAAGATATTCAATCATAAGAGAGGAAAGTGCGCAAACGACCAATCTGAGATTTACTAAAGGGACAAGATTTTTATTTATGTTTGTAATAAAAAGGGAATACTTCTCTTCTTGCGCCCCTCCCTCCGCCATTGGACTCTCCACAAAAAAAAAAAAGACTCAGAAGAAGTCAAGAGAGTCACCCTGTGAACTTTAAAAGACTTACAAGAAACACAGGGTAAATTATGCCGCTTTTAGCAAATACGCCAAAAATATTGCAATCAGACTCGCTCTCATTCACAATTTACATGGATGCAAACAGGCGCACAGCAAACTGGCGACAAGCGCCCACTCAGAACTCAGAGATATGGTCGCCGAAAACACAGTCCAGATACAAGTTCACTTTCGATGGCTATGGCGACTCAGCGCCCAAACAACTCTCTGTTCGCATACCCCAGATCACCCTGGATATCCCACACACGTCTCTCTGAACACACACACACACACACTGAACACTCACTACAGCTATGGCGGCTATGGCGGCTACTACCCTATCGCTATGCTACGCTCCTCTCTCGCCCACTTCGGCTCCGGACTCACTGCAGACCTCCTTGCACAAGTCGCTGTGGCAGCGCTTCCGCATGGCTCACGCAGGAATGAATGAATGACTGGGCGCTGCCTCTTGATTTATACTTCTGAAGCTCGTTGGTCTGCCCTTCTCCATCGGCCCATGGTGCTCACAGTCCCTTGTGGTACTTGTTGGACCGGACTGGGACTGACTGGACCTTACCGCTGACTGAATGGGGACTCACTGCTATCCTACCACTACCGTCCTGCGGACGTACTGCAGTTGGTCCACCACTTGCCCACTTGCTCGACCTTCTAGAAGGCCTACAGCTAAGACTTCTATTCTACAGATTTACAGATCGAACCCCTGCTACCTACGGACCCTACGACAGTCGACTAACTGTTACAAATACACAGGTCGTGGGTTCAAGCCTTGGGGTCGACACAGATACTGTACACCGGTAGGGTAAGGGCTAGGGATCGAGCCCTGGGGTCTGCATCGGCTACTGCAAAAGGTGAAAACCGTTTCAATATCCACCAGAACACAAAGGCCTGACCGAGCTCTGAGATTCAATAGAAGTGAAACAAAAAGAAAGAAATTTTCAAGAAAATAAACATGCTCTTACTTGCCTCTATACTTGAAAACCGGGACTTGCCTGACATTGCGAAATTTTGAGCTTTTGCCACTCTGCCGACTTTCAGCGCTCAGTCGGTCGGTCAGTCGGGTGAGACTACCAAAAACAACAACAAATAAACACAGAGAAGAAAAACAAAGACAAAAGAGGAACGGGCCTCCAGCGTGGATGGAGACGCATAGCTGGAGGAATACGCTTACCGTGAAGTCATTCATCCGTACGTAGCCAGATTCAAATCGGGATACCATGTCATGGACGGCCTGGACGCACATGAAAAGAACAAACGCAGAGAGGCAGACAAATACAGTTTGTAAATTAACAAGTTTGTAAATTAATTCATCCGTACGTAATAATGATACATAATATGGTTATTAATTTATTAGTATATTATAATATTACCACTTTTTCCCTACCATTATTACCCGTGCAAGGAAAATGAGCGATAGTGAACTTCAGAAACCAAGCAGCATTATACACATGAGACCAGATAGTCGTGACCTCGAACCAAAAGAAGAATTGCAACGCGAGTCCCACCAAATAAGAACACAGCAAAAGCTCATAAGTCACAATGTTCGAATAGTCTAATCATCATCAACAAAGAACCAATGACGACGTCCTATCTGGAGCTCTGCGCCCAGACTACAAATGGCAGATCCTATCTAGCCTATCTACAACGCCGCTGGTGACGTCAACAGCTCCCCCAAGTACGAGCAGATCTTGGCCAATGCCGTCGCCTCAAGCACTAGGCATGTCTCTCGTATCACCCACAACCTCGATCCCCCACTCACAGATGCCACGTGCACCCAAGGACCACCATGCGTCCCATCCAGCATACAGCAGCGCAGCTCAGCTATGGCTGACTGCTCCTTCCAGCTCGCCTGAGAGCGTGAGCGCTGGCCAGCGTATAGCGCAGAAGCGCTTGCACAGCATGCAGCCAGTGCCCGAATGCCGAATGTGTGGGCAGGCCCTTTCCTAACTGGAAGTGGCCGGCTTGCTTGCGTGGAGCCTGGCTGCGCTGGGCCCCTGCCCAGAAGCTTCCGGTAGCCCCAGAGAGGCTGAGCCCCAGTCCAAACAAATCAGGCCCTGGGCCTCTGGTTGTTGCCCGTGTCCAACTGCCCACGGCTTATATTCGGTCCATGTTGCGAATCTGGCCCAGGGCCTGCCTAAGTTACATTCGAAAGAGGCAGCCTGGGCCTGGGCGCTCTCAACCAACTGGCGCTGCGCAAGTGCCTGAATTTACCCAGTTGCGGTTTGTAGGCCCAGGGTCGAGCCTGCTCCATTTAGGGCGGCCTACTGTACAGAAAAAGTAGGGCCCAGTAGGGCAGATCAAGGCCTTGAGCCTCGCACCCGTATTATTGCTATTATTATCATAATAATTATTATCATCAACTGGCCGGCATTCGGGACGGGCTGAACACCCGAACCCGAACGCCCGAACGTACGGGATCCCTTGGGGATGCGTTTGGTCGTTCGGGCCGAACGCAGACCCAAAAAAAAAATCAAAAACAATATCAAAAGTTCATAATTGACAATGCTGAAATAGTCACATCATCATCATCAACGAAGGACCAATGTTGATATCCCATCTGGCGCTCGGCGCCCAGACTACAGATGGCAGATCCTATCTAGCCTATACTACAATGCCGAAGATGACGATAACAGCTTCACCGAAGTACCAGCAGGCAGCGGCCAATGCCGCACGCTTCCAGCACCAGGTATGTCTCTCGCTTCACTCACAACCTCGTTCCCCAACACAAAGATGCCACATGCACCCAAGGACCACCCTGCGCCACACCCAGCTTACAAGAGCGCAGCTCGGCTATGGCTGCCTGCTCCTTCCCTGCTCGCCCCTGAGCGCGTAGGCGCCAGCCAGCAAATAGCGCAGCAGCGCTTGCGCAACATGCAACCAGCACCCGAATGCCCAATGTGGAGGCAGGCCCTTTGCTATATGGAAGTGGCCTGCCTGCTTGCTGTCCCAAGCTTCCGGTAGGGCCCGGTAGGCTGAGGCCCAGTCCACACAACTCAGGCCCTGGGCCTATAGTGGTTACTCGTGCCCAACTGTCAACAGCCTGTGTTAGGCCCTCATCCCGTATCCAGCCCTGGGCCTGCATTCGATACACTCAAACAAGCTGCCCAGGGCGAGGATTCTTCCAGCCAACTGGCGCTGCGCAACTGCCTAAATTTCCTTGAGTTGCGTGGTGACCGAATTAGGGGCCCTGGGGACCTCATCGAGCCTGCCTTCACTTAGGGCAGCCGACGTACTGCTTGAAGGGTCTGAAAGGGGCTCAAAGAGGCATTGGCCTCGCATTCCCTCCTCCTTAGCTTCAACAGTCCTCTGAGAAGCTCAATCTTCGACCATCGGGCGCTTTCCCTTCTGCAGAGATCTCTCGTACTGTGCTACATCTTGCGGAGTGGTCTCCATGAGTTACTCTCTGGTCAACCAGCGGTCCTCCTTTGGATCAATATGATGGCGGAACCGAACACGGTGCTGCAGCTTCGGTTTTGGAGGACGTCCCCTGCCTGTTGATCTTGGAACAAGCAGCTCCCTGTGGTCCACGATATCATCAATATCCACTTCTCCGTCCATGGTTGGGGGCAGCATTGAGCGATGAGAAGAAAACTGATCTGTCTCCTTGAAAAGTGCAAGCTTGGAGGCGTGAAAGACAGGGTAAGTGCGAAGATGACCAGGGATCCGGACTACATAAGATGGCCCATCCGGATCAGTCCCAACAATATCTAAGACTTCCCAAGGTCCAAATTACTGGGGCATGAGTTTGCGAGAAATCCCGTACTCCTGTCCTAGTTCTGAGGACTTAACGTAGACTCTGTCCCCAACCTGAAACGTAGAAGGGCGGCGGTGTTTATTCTCATATTCTATCATCGTTGCCTGCGCCTTCTACATTTGTTCTACCGCCTGCTGCATCTTTTGTTCATACCGATAGGCAAATTCTAAGGTACCTGGTGCAACAGTTGACTGATTCTCAGGAAGAAGGAAGTCTAAGGGCAGTCTAGGCTTGAAAGTCAACAATAAGCTGTTTGGGCTCACCCCGGTAGCGCTGTGTACAACGTTGTTGTATAGGCTGGCGATGAGAGCAAGCTTCTCATCCCAGTCCACCTGGTTGGCCTCTCGGTGATTCCCAAAAGTCATCTGCAACTGGGTTCCCTGCTCCACAGCAACGGCCTTCCACAACTCACTTGTGAATCGGACATCCCTGTCACTCACTATGGATTTGGGCAAACCAAAGTCCCTGACCTTGTTCTCTTTAAACAATCTGATGACGTTATCGGTCTTCGCTGTCTCTGGCATGGCTACTAATCTAGCATACTTACTAAACCTATCCACGATGACGAAGATGTGTCGCATCCCGCTCTTGCTGGTGACCAGAGCATCCATGGAGTCCATGGACAGACTCTCACCAGGCCTTTCGGGAATTGGAAGGGGCTTCAAGAGCCCAAGACGACCCTGAGTACGTGGCTTGTCCGTCTGACAAACCTGACATGTCTCCACGTACAAATGGGCATCTCGCATCATCGTGGGCCACCAGAAGCACTGCAGCAGATTGGCTGCAGTCTTCTTGTATCCAAAATGGCTGGTGGCATCATGGCACTCACCTAAAAACAAACTACACAAAGACTCTCTATTCGGAACACACAATCGTTTATTCCCTTCCTTCTCAAGGAACAGCAAGCCATTGACCAACTCAAACTCGGCAGAGGTCTTTTTGTCCTTCGCCTCTAGTCTCCGTATGATCTCAAACATAAACTGGTCCTCTCGATGGGCTTCCACCAAAGAGCGAGTAACATCGTCTGTCAGATCGAACTCGGTAGTTAGCGCACCCGAGAAGTCAGGTCTACTCGACAAGGCATCGGCAACCTTGTTGTACTCCCCTTTCAAATACTGAGGGTCAAAGTCATACTGCTCAATGACTTCGATCCAACGCTTCAGGGCGTCGGATAGTACCGGCTGAGTTCTCATCCATCTCAGTGTCTGATGATCAGTCCTGAGGAAGAAGAACCTCCCAAGGAGATAGTGCCTCCAATGGGTCAGAGCCTTGTACACCGCATAGAGTTCCTTCTCATAGGTTGACTTTGCCAGCCAGCAAATAGCGCAGCAGCGCTTGCGCAGCATGCAGCCAGCACCTGAATGCCCAATGTGGAGGCAGGCCCTTCGCTATATGGAAGTGGCCTGCCTGCTTGCTGTCCCAAGCTTCCGGTAGGGCCCGGTAGGCTGAGGCCCAGTCCACACAACTCAAGCCCTGGGCCTGTAGTGGTTGCTCGCGCCCTACTGTCAACAGCCTGTGTTAGGCCCTCATCCCGTATTCAGCCCTGGGCCTGCCTTCGATACACTCAAACACGCTGCCCAGGGCGTGGGTTCTTCCAACCAACTGGCGCTGCGCAACTGCCTGAATTTCCGCGAGTTGCGTGGTGACCGAATTAGGGGCCCTGGGGACCTCGTCGAGCCTGCCTTCACTTAGGGCGGTCGACGTACTGCTTGAAGGGCCTGAAAGGGGCTCAAAGAGGCAGTGGCCTCGCAATATGTTATGCAGAAAAATAAACTAAACAACATTTGCCTGAACTTTACATNGGCCTGAAAGGGGCTCAAAGAGGCAGTGGCCTCGCAATATGTTATGCAGAAAAATAAACTAAACAACATTTGCCTGAACTTTACATCCAAATTCCTTACCAAATTTTGAAACAAAAATAAAAGAAGGAAAATAAATACTAATAAGAAAAATAAGAAAGCATAAAAAGAGAAATTGGAGAATTGCGGTGACCCGTCCAAACATGGACTTAAAACCACCAGTAGTTCCTAAAGTTAATGCTACGCGATTTTCGGAAACGTACGGGCCACTACAGGAGCGCCCAAATTCATCCAACTAGAAACGTTTCTACTCTATTTTTTTCCGCGGCCGATAGCTGGGCCAAGTACCGGTGGTTTAAACACACAGCTGATTTCTGAGTTTTGCCCATAAACAGAATGCCTTGCTAAGTTTCCCGCCTGCTACTAAGTCTGTGTGTGCATGCTTGCTGGACTGCATGTCTGTCTGAGTGCTGGTTGGCTTGAGTGTGTGTGTGGCCGTGCCTGTCTGAGTGCTGGTTGGCTCGAGTGTGTGTGTGTGGCCCGCAAGGGCACTTGCTCATTCATTGGGCCCTCAGGGCCGGTACTTACCTGTGGCCGTGACATTGATGTAGTCAGACTCGCTCTTTCACACTTCACATGCATACAAACAGGTGCGCAGCAAACTGGCGACAAGCGCCC